TACTTTAACAATATTTGTTAACAATGATTCAATACAAGTTCTGCTATATATTTCTTCAGAATTCTAGATTTTCATTATTATTTTTATAGCTATTTGTAATTATGCATTGTGTAATTGATTTTTAAGCATTCCTGTAAAATTTGAAGTTCAAGTTTTTCATTTGTGAATTTCATATTTTGCTGGAACATTTATAAAAAAAGAATTTAATGATGGAAAAACAGCACAACTGCAATCTTACAATTTTTGTTACCTAATTCTCTTGCTGCTACTCTTGCTCATGCAGTGTTGAGTCAATTATCGAAACCTCATTACTTCATCGATCCTGTAAAATGTGATAATATATTCAGAAGCATCATTTGTGTCTTTTACTGTTACAAGATCTCATGACCATACAATATTCCAAATTATTTCATTATTATTTTGAATTATTTTGCAGCAAATAAAAATTACACTCATTTTTTGCATTAGCTGAAGTGGCATTAAGATAATTAATGAACAAAAAATTTGAAGATAACAGTTTAATACTGTGGCAAAGCAAGAAATTATGTCCGTCCCCTACAAAAGGTCTATCTGGTGCTATCTAAAAAAAAGGTTGCTTGGTAGAAATTTTCTTTCACCCCCATCTACCTCCCTATGCCTGCTGATGTAGAGTAGTTTGCTATGCCACAGGTTTATCATGCTGTTTTTCCTTTCTGAAATTCCATTTGCTTCAATATATTTCAACAAAATGACTGATCCATAAATGATAAAACTGATTATCAATGGCTTTTGGTGTCATTGTTAATCTAGCAATATTATTCATTAAGCCTTCCTGTTCAATATTCTGCACAGATAACAAATTACAAATTAAAAGACTTTGTAAGATACCAGAAAGTGTACATCAAGTAAGCACAATAATTAATGCAAAATTCAGAAACAAAATTGCTTTTTTATTCATGTTCTGACAAGAAAAATTTCCATATACAGTGTAAATATGATTTAAATAAGAACCAAGCATGTTCTCTTTTGATATTTGTAAACTTAAATCACTCAAACAGCTTATTTGTCTACAATTAATCATATTGCATTTGTACACCAGGTTCATCCAAAACTTTATATCAGCAAAATTGGCAATTTAAATGGTGTCATCAGTCACACTGGTATTTTAAAGGCACCTCCGAGTCTAATTTGCACACAATGCATTTGATGTTTCTAACCTCTGACATACACATCATTGTTTGACAAGAACATATAGTTCTAATGTATTATGACAAGAACATGTAGTTATAATGTATTCTGACAAGAACCTATAGTTATATTGTATAAAATACATATGTAAACATTTGCATCATTTTTATATTGATATATTTGTGGGCTTGAAGGAAGACACTTATATGATGAATAATGTCATCAATACAATTTTTTAAATTACTTTTCTTTTACCTAGGAGAATGTCAATAGTCAAGATGCTCTTCTGCTTTTACTAAGCAACTTTTTTGATGAGCAACTGGTCAATTTTATGTCTGATGATATTGAGTAAAACTATTTCTTTAAATGTCAAGAAAATATTTTCAAATATACCATAGCTGAAAGAAATCAAGCTTTTTATTAATATCTATGTTTGTGATTTTTTTTTTTCAATGACAAATGTAAGAGCTGTACTCGATTCTTCCATGAGGTTATGCATTATTGTGTGTGTGTGTGTGTGTGTGTGTGTGTGTGTTTGTGTGTGTGATATATTTGGATTATATATTTGGATTTTCAATGTAGCTTTAAAAAATTTTCAGTCATATTGCTATGATGCCTGCAGTATAGCAGTTTATATTAACATCAAGCACTTGGGTATCATGCCACAGACATGTAGCATGATGTCCCACCCAGTCACATGATCCAAACACCAGACCAACCAGTCCTAACATTAACCTCTTAATTCTGAGTGCCTAGCTACTAGTATCATTTTTATAAGTCTTTTATAAGTCTTTGGTATGACTTGGCCAGGGCTCGTATCTGTGACCTCCTGCATTCAAGAAAGTTCTAACCATTAGGTCACCGGAGCAGTCATGCATTATTGTACTTTAACAGAAGAATGACTTAATTTGAGTGCATTTGTTTTATTTTTAATATAGCGTTAACAATCTGAGTCATATGATGTCTGAAGTGTGGTAGTTACAGTGATGTCTAACACTGAAGCATCATGTCCCAAACAGTCACATCATCCTGACACCAGGCCAATCAGTCTCTTAATGCTGAACTTCCAAGTGAGGCAGCTTCTTGTACCATTTTCGTAAATCTCTGGCATGACTTGGATGTGATTCGAACTTATGACCACCCACATACAATGCAGATATTCCAACCACTTATGCCACCAGACTTATCTGGAAGCCATGTGAAAATCTTGACCTTGTACATAGTACTTTAAACTAGAAAAGCTGTTTGTTGCTTTAAAAAATGCTTAAATCAATACCAAAATTTTAATTATAGCAACATTCATCATAGACTGCTCCAACATCAATATCAAGATTTCAGTAATCAGAGAAAAATAATGGCTGTCTTTTCTTTTTTTTTTAAAAGTTCTCACTGACAATACCAGGCTGTGCAGAATCAAGGATAGGGCTAACACTTGTCCATTATATAGGTAAATCTGATTTTAAATCATCTTCTTCTCACCTTCCTGGGATATTTTATTACCAACTCATCTTATAAGCAGTATTTAATAATTTTTTGGTATGTGCCAGTTGATCAACTTGCCTATCAGAAAAATCAAAAGGCCATCTTTCAGAACCATAGGGTAATAATTACAGAATTGTCTTCCCCGAACATTGCTAATGTTACAACTACTACTGTATTCTTGTACAAGTACCAACATTAAGAATCTCATAGTAATTATTTATGCAAGAAAACTGTACAGTACATAAATCCTTTTACAAAGTCTTATTTTCAGACTTATATTTACAAATCTCTATGGCTTCAGTTACTTAATGGAAAAAGGTGATGATATGTAAATGATAAACAGATCAAAGTCCATCACACAATATCTTCAGTTTCAAATAAAGACAACCAAATGTTAAGAGCAGTATTTGGTTGCACCCAATGCCCATGGTATATGTATACAGTTAGTGTGTGTGTTTGTATGTATGTCTGGTCTGTATATCTGCTGATATGCCCCACATCACCCCATTTTTGTTATCTGCCTGTTATCAGCCAGTCAATGTCTGCAGTTTGCCTGCTGTATCAGCAACAAATCCCTGCTGTAAATCATAGGTACTACAACCAATAACCTGCAATTGTCTGAAGCTGTACCTCTGGGCAAGAGTGGTGGATGCAATTGATCTCATTAAAAAATGGAGTTTGCTTCATTTGCTCCTCAGCATAATTATTCATTTTCTATTTTATTTTTGATTATAAGAAAGTTCAAATATATCATATGTGATATGTATTTATACACACAAATGAAGCACACCTAGTGGATGATCTCATTGGATACCTGAAACACTTTTCAGTCCAATATGATTACATGATGAATGCACCTAGCTTGCAATCAGTGTGGTCTGCAGAATTTCTTTAATGTATTAATGTACTCCTTGGAATGGAGCATTCTGAACAGAAAAAAATAGAGGGAATCAGTTGCAAGCTTATCATGATCATCATGGACTGCTGACCAATCAGGTTGCCAAATACCTGTGCAAACTAGCATGTCTGTTACAGTTGTTTATCTTTGCCCAAGTAATGATAGTGAGAGCTCTGGCATCTTTATAGATTTTTAAAAGTACAACATATACAAATTTATCTCATGAGTTTTCACTAACCTTTGACCAAATTTTTCACTATATACTCCAAAGTGCAAGTTATAATGTGTGTAAATTTTGTAAGAAAAATATTGCCTTTGTGGAAGCTGATACAATAACTGCTGGCAGATCATAGATGATTAGTCAATTAGCCTGGGCCTAGTTCCCCCAAATGGTATATATAGGTCTTCAATGTAGTTAACTCAAAATATCTGCCAAGTATCACTTACCATATTTGAACTAATAAATAAACATGTTAATGTACACACACACCCTTTTCTATCAATTTCACATGTAATATTCAAATGCCTCAGTACAGAACCCAGTGAAACACCAAGCCAGAAATTAACTGGACTGGAATGTTTTCCATTTATAGACATAATTTGTGTACTTTTCACTAAGTTTGACATGACAAATCTGATGAACAGTAATTTATTATCTCTCCCAATTATTATGGTAAATATTAATACATCATCAATATCTATTACTGATGCAATAACAGATTTATCTAAAACAATGTACAAGTCTGGACAGAAATCTATCTCATTATCTATAGTATGTACTCATCAGGCTAGACAGTAACCTGATCAGGTGATCAGACTAGATATCTAATGGTATCTAAGGTTACTGTAAAAAGTGCAACAAAGTGGTCAAAGTTATGAACCAGTCTATGTCAGTAAACCATATGATTGATTTACTTACTACCAAATTGTTCTGTGAGTAAGGACAATACTCAGGGTGTACTATGGATAGCAGGTTATCTGATACATTAGGCTATCCAGAAGAACAGATGACAGCAGCAGTCAAGACTTGACTGCTAAGTACAGCTGATAAAGTTTAGTAATTATCTTTATAATGGAATATTATTATCTTTATAGATGTCATCTTCTACCTGATAACAGCCATAATTTGACCCAAGTTTGTCTTATTTTTTTTAGGGTACCGCATAGAAACGGTACTTTGAGAATATCAAGACATCACGGTTTCAGTCAAGTTGTGTACATGATGACCAATACTATTAAGGTTCAATGGTAAAATGCATGCTGAGTTCCACTACAGTCCTTAGTACTATTTTTGGGATTTGTTCACAGATATTATTTCATTTAAAACAAACATTGGTATGACCTAATTATTTTATGGTTTTAACAGCACTTTTGATACATTATTGACTGTATCATACTGAGGAAGTGAGAGCTAAGTGTCTTTTTCAAAAACACATTGAGACAGAAAAACTCCTGCCTGTCAAGTATCAGACCTGAGACCCTTGAATTATAAGTCCAATGCCTTGCCAACTGAGCTACCATGGCTCCCAAGTACGATTTATAAACAATAAATGTGCAATGCAGATTTCATGAATTTTGGTCATAATTGCTGAACAGTAAGTCTTTTTTCACCATAAATTATACATTTTTTATTTATGTATTTGTTACCATTGTTAACAAAACTATAATAAAAATGAACACTTTAAATTTTTTTAATGTACTTAACATAAAAGAGAACTGAACACAATCTTTAAACATAAAAATATGGCTCTAAATATAGCTTGCTGTATACCTGTGGTATACAGGTATCCATTCACTGGCCAAGAAAGCGGAAGGAAGTGTGTTGAGTGCTTTTATTCCTCATTATATTGGGAGGTACAACTGCAGCTCAATGTTAATGAAACATTTTTGTTTGGTAAAAGTATGAGGCAGTAAAGCTGTCAGTATTATGTGTGATCAATGAAAACTCTTCACTGAGCCTGTCATATTTGGTTCGTTTTGGTGCTTTACAGCACAGCAACACCAGTAGGCTATTTAGTGCTGTAGCAGTTAGAGTGACATGCCTTGTCCAAAGACACCAGATTCTGTCATGCTAGGATCGGATGTAAATTGTCAAATATCTTACCCAAAAATGGTGCTGTAAGAAAATACTTTCACCATATCAAGAACATATCGAAAATAATTAATGCTCATAATATTAATTAGTGTGATATACCAGTAATCTAAAATATGTCATGCAGGTTAAATAGAACTACCATCAATTATCTGAACATTAATTACAGATTACCAGAACTTTCTGATACCATTTAAATGTCCTATAGACCTGACTTTTTCTTTTCATTTTTATCATTTGTCTGGATCAAATCTAGGCAATTAAATAATTTATTTTATTTGTCAGGAAGCTTACAAAGAAATAATACTTCGAGTAGCTGAGCCAGAGTGTCTCAGTGGGCAGTGTACCAGGATCACAAACAGAAAAATACAGGTTCAAATCCTAACCAAACAAGCTCTGTCAGCTGATATGCAAAGTCCCTAGGCAGGATACTTGACATCAAGTACCTCAGCAAAACACTATTTAAGGTATATGTGATCATTATGTAGTACTGAATTATATTTATAACATAATTTTCATTATAAGGTGGTCTAATTGTAAGGTGGAAAACTCTATGGCTCCCACTGACAGTGTTATAATGAGCTGCCTCATCTGATTGGGCTGTCTCATTAATAGGGCTGTCTCATTTAATAGGGCTGTCTCATTTAATAGGGCTATCTCATTTATGTTTATGAACTACATTTGTATCTTAACATTTTCAATATCAATATTCTATTAAAACAAATAAAACATGTCAACTATGGAGTTGAAAAAGTTTAGAATTCTGGTAATATTAAAATGTCAGTCAAAAATAAAACAAGTGATCAGAAGTTTAGAAATGCTTTACAGAGGCAGAAATAGTTTAACAAGGTGAAATTCTTTTGTGCAATGGAGTTAGTTTATTAAGGTGGTAATGCCAGCAAAATATCAAATCATCTACCTCACAAACATAAATCCATTTCAACAGCTACATTGCAACTAAAACTGATTCAAATATGATCATCACTCAATAGATAATTACACTTGTTGAGCTTTAAAAACGTCCTTCCTTTCTTTAATGTCAATGATAAAATGGCAAAAGTGCACTGAAAAAAAATTAAATCATGATGTGTGCATGTTACTGAGATCTCTCAGTAGAAGATTTCAAAATGTAAGTAGAATGCTAAACTGCTCATTCTTTTTTTTGAATATTCATCTTCATATCAAGTAAATTTCAATCAGGAATATAATGGTCAATGTCAGTTTTGCCAATATGAAAGTTGCTGCTGTTGTTATAGGTTTAATGCCATTTTAGGCAAAAGATAGGTTATTTATATACCAAAGAGAGGTTAATTACTTTCAAAATGAATGTAGCAATTAGTTTAGGATTAAAGAGAAATTTAGCCACTTGTTAAGAAAATAACTGCATTTTATAAGCTGCTTAATTGGCAGGTACCAAGTAATCCTGTCAAGTATAAGAATGATGTCAAAACAGCCGACAAGTCATTCACACACCCTCCAATTTGTTCATAACCCCTACAGATTTTAAAAACTAAAGGCATCAAGGATATAAAAAATGCATACAACTTATTCATTGTATTCTTCTGTGTATAATTTCTAACCAGGGGGCACCAAACACTTAACTTGTTGGCATTTCAAACCCTATGGAAGTTCTTTATTAACATGGTCAACATATTTGGAGTTATTTCTCTTTAACATAATATATAATAGAGGTCCTTGTTTTATTTGTTCAATTTGTTTTGGAAATATCAAAGCTAGTCATTGAAAATACTGAATGGAGACAACACAGTTCTTACTGACTTGGACTGTTCTAGAATCAGAAAAGGACAGTGAGCAGTCTCTCTGCCCATTTACATTGAGCTTCTATATTGTTTGAAATACCAATAAGCTGACAGTGTCAGGGACCCACCAGAAACAATCAGATTAGAAATTATACACTGACAATGACAAAGTTCTATGCATTATTATGACATTGATGCTATTCATTTTTAAAATTGGAAGGGGGTTCAACTAAATGAGAGGGTGTGTGATACTTAATATAGGTCTATCTGCAATCAATATTACACATGCTCTAAGCATACTGCAAATATAACCAACATGCCAATACAATATGCTGAAATGGCACCACCCTGTTGATTACATTCCTTCTAAATATTACCTACAAGTGTCACATGCATATCACTGACAATCATCTAACCCACCAGAATGCTGATTCTTCCATTAATCTATCATTCCATTATTTTTTTTCTTCAAATCAGCTTTCTACCAAGTCCAGATGATTTTCATGCAGTCATACACAGTACTTGAAAAAGATAGGACCTCTTCACAGTTAATGTTACCCACAAAGACACTAGGATAACTGATAGTTAAAGAAATTATCACCCCACCCTTTAAAACATCCAACAGGAAGAATACCCACATAATATCTTTTAATCTTGAATTTGATCCAAATATCATGTGCACAATAAAACCTGACATTCAGCAAGTCAGACAAAATACCATATATACTCACTTATAAGTAGTCAAACTGTATACATGTATATTTGATGCAGATCAGGGTCTATGTTGTTTGTCATACAGATTATTCCTAGCAAATTTCACACAGACCCAGATCTGCTGGCACATTATGTTACAGTAGATCTGGGTCTGTGCAGTTTGCAGTTGGAGTCATCTAATAAGTGAGTATATATGGTAAGTGGTAACAAGGTCTCTTGGATTTCCTGTTATCAAGCTCCTTGATCCATGATGATCCCCAGGAAAGGTGGCAAACTTGGATTTAGTGACATTAATAACAAAAGTGTCATCTTTATTTAATAGTTGATCTTACAAGGAAACTATTCACCAGGCTACATAGACTTTTAGACACATCTTTGCAAATGAAATGGTAAAAAATGAAACAAATAAAATCTATTACTCTAAGTAACAATGTTCAGTCCATGAAAGGCCATCATGTTGCCTTTCTCTTTTTCATGTTGCACCTTTCTCATTTAGGACCAAATGCAGGTCCCAATTTGGATCATTTGGCGTGGTCCCCAGGATTTACATATGGGAGTCCCCTGTGAGTACAGCATTTGGAAATAAACTTTTTTTTAAAAAAAATTATGACACTGAACTTAAAATTTACCTCCATTGCTTTAAAATTACTTTATCTCTATAGATAATTTTTTTTTAAATTACTAACATGCATTGCCTCTGAGGGTCAAATCAATCCAATCAGCAAAAGGCTGACCATGTTCATATTATCAAGTCTTTAGTGAAAAACCCTATGTTGATACCATTATTTACACAGAAGTAGTGATAACAAGAATTTCATAATGGCTGCCATGATGGTCATATGAATCTGCCCTAATCTTGTTTATCTTTATATCACAATAAGACTTTGTGAAAACACCTTAGTATGAAGAAGAGTAGAAACAAGATTTTCAAGATGGTCATCAACAGTTTCATGCTGAATGTCAAGTCAGCACCTTTTCATTCATCACCAACCAGGCATCTTTGGAAGTCTTTTCTTTATATGACCATTTGTTCAGAAGTAGCTGTAACCAGATTTTCAAGATAGCATTGCATGCCAAATAATATGCATAACAAATGATAAGATGCCAGATTAGTGCTATTTTTCATTTAGGACAATCATGACATCATTATAAATCTCTGTGAAAACCCCATCCTAATGTCCTAATGTGACCAACTGTTCAAGAAATACTGTATGTACTCACTTATAAGCCCAACTGCAAACTGCACAGGTCCAGATCTGCCATCACATAATGCACTGGCAGATCTGGGTCTGTGCAGTTTGTTAGAAGAAATCAGTAGAACAAAAAACATACACCCTGATCTGCAGGTGCCTTATGCTAAAGCCAATCAGCATCTTTGTTGTTAGCAACTTGACTTGACTTATAAGTGAGTATATATGGTACATAGTAATATCAAGATTTTCAAGCTGACTACCATGGTGAGCATGAATTTTGTAAATGTTCTTGCAGCACATTTTGCCAGGGTCAGTGTGACATGAACAAATTAAATTGACTAATGGCTTAGGTACCATAGTGACTTAGTATAGCATCCCCAGTTTGGGCAGGATTGATTTTTAATTTGGGTCCCTTTGATAATGGTTAAACAGATGTAGGAGGCAAGGTGAATTTGGGTTTAAGTGTTGGAAACATAAGACAGTGGAGAGGATGCAGAGATAATTTTATGGCACTGAACTAATACTCATAAAGTGAAATTGCCAGGAATTTGTTTATTTAATAAGGCCAAAAGACGGAATTATTTTAACTTTGATGTATGTTAATTTGCAGCAGTTTGGAAACATTTCATCCTGACTGGCTAAGCTAAATAAGGGGTGGGTGTTTCTCAGACAAAATTCAATGTTTAAGTATTCTCCCTCACAAAATTAGTCAGTTTTTTTGTGGAAAGAAAAGGTCTTAACTCAAAATTAGCAGGAAGTACTTCC